CTGTTTCTTCTTTTTTTGGGTACTGGGGATTGAACTCAGGGGAACTCGACCACTGAGCCACATCTCCAGCCCTATTTTGAATTTTATTTAGAGACAGGGTCCCACTGAGTTGCTTAGGGTCTCTCTGTTGCTGAGGCTGGCTTTGAACTCATGATCCTCCTGCATCAGCCTCCTGAGCTGATGGGATTACAGGTGTGGCCACTGTGCCTGGTTGTATTTCTCCTTTTGGGTATAAAATGCCCCACCTATTTTGATATTCTGTTGTGATGTGAATACACACTAAGAATTATAATGTTTTCTAGGAGCATTCTTTATTTGTAATAATACTTTTGGGGTTCCAGGGCTGGAACCCAGGGCCTCATACATTCTTTTTTTTTTTTTTAATAAGTTATCATGGCTTGACATTATGAATTTATTTATTTATTTTTTGAGAGAGAGAGAGAGAGAATTTTAATATTTATTGATTTATTTTTTTAGTTTTTGGCAGACACAACATCTTTGTTTGTATGTGGTGCTGAGGATGGAACCTGGGCCGCACGCATCCCAGGCGAGTGCGCTACCGCTTGAGCCACATCCCCAGCCCCCTCATACATTCTTTTTTTTTTTTTTTAAATTTATTATTATTATTATTATTTTTAGTTTTCGGCGGACACAACATCTTTGTTTGTATGTGGTACTGAGGATCGAACCCGGGCCGCACGCATGCCAGGCGAGCGCGCTACCGCTTGAGCCACCTCCCCAGCCCCCCCTCATACATTCTTGACAAATGTTCTGCCACTGATCTACACCCCAGCCTTGAGGACTCTTCTTATGCAGTGCTCTTCTTTAGATGTCTGCTTTGTCTGAAATTATTGTAACCACTCTTTCTTTCTTTTGGTCAGTGTTAGCATGTTTTTTCTTTCTATATTCTTTTTTTCTTTGATACCCTCTTGCTCCGCCCCCATACTAGGGATTGAACCCAGGGCTCTTCGACACTGTGCTACTTTCACAGCTGTTTTCTATTTCTTGAGGCAGTGCTGAGGTTACTAGTACCCCAGTAGAGCAGATTACTGCTTGGAAATGTATACTATCTGGGAAAATAAAAAGTCTGAAAAAAATCAGTAAGGAATAAAAGACAACAGACACTTTTTAAAAAGCCTGGCTCCTCTCACCCTCACTCTCCTTGGTAATAGTGTAAGTTCACCAGTAAAGTTCTAGTTTTCTATTTGTAGCAAAAATAAACCCCCAAAAACAAAAAACCCAGAAATTAGATTTAAAGGCGGGATGCCTGGTAGGTCTTCCAGCGCTGAGAGGAACTGGAACTGAACAATCCTTTATTTAAGATCCTTTATTTAAGGGGAAGTACATCAGAAGTTTCCATGTGGCAGGCTTCTTGAGGAAGACAGGGTGGGGATGGGAAGACAAGTTGTTTGGTGGCTGGTTATACCGTTTCTGGCAGCTGCATTTGAACCTAGGGCTTGGAGCTGAGGCAGAGCACCAGCATGACCTGGGCTTTCTTGAACCAGGAGTCCCCAGAAAAGTGGCCTCCCTGACTTGTGTTGGCTCAACAGACCCATAATTCATGCCTGGCTTCCAGCAAGGCAGGATTTTGCTTAGTTGCCCAGGCTGGCCTGGGATTGGAGATCCTCCTGCTAGGGCCTCCTGAGTAGCTGGGACTGCAGTTGTGTGCTACCACATGTGGTTTGTATGTTAATATCTTAAACTTGGTTTTCTTGGTTGTGTTTTTTTACTCATTGTTTTGGGGACTCATAGGCAAAAATGATCCTAGATCCATGTGTTTAACACAGGTTTTTCCAGTATTGTTAAATGTTCAGATTTATTCAGGGATTTCAGCTCTAACTAGTCTCCTTGATGAAGCCTTTCTTTTCTGTGGCATAGATTTTCATACTTCATCTTTTTTTTATGATTTTTACTCTAAATATAATGAATGTATTCTTTTGATTTTATATCATTAGCTAATGTTTTCTTTTCTTTTCTATTTTTCTTCTGTGTTCTCTTTACTGATTCTCAGCTTCTGAAGAGAATTTGTCAGTAACCCCACGGCTTTTACACAGATACTCAGTAGATGTGTAATTGGCTTATGAAAGCAGCAGGAAAGGAATTTAATTTTCTCTTTATTGAGATCATTATTCCAGAAGCTATTTTGCTGTCTCCCCTCTTGTAATCATTCTGTATTTCTGTGTGTGTACCGCATAGGTACAGATGTTGATTCATTACTAAAACAGACATTAAAGATACAAGGTTGCTGGGTGCAGAGGCACATGCCTGTAATCCTAGCGGCTCAGGAGGCTGAGGCAGGATGATCTCGAGTTCAAAATCAGCCTCAGCAACTGTGAGTCACTAAGCAACTCAGTGAGACCCAGTTTCTAAATAAAATACAAAGTAGGCTGGGAATATGGCTCAGTGGTCGAGCGCCCCTGAATTCAATCCCAGGTAGCCTCCCCCGCAAAAGACATAAGGTCTATTTACTTTTCCCTAAAAGTTAACAGTGATAATATGGAATAGCATTCCTTCCCCCTCAAAATGTGTCAAACTATGTTAGAAAGAAAAATGAATTGGTTTTTTTTTTGTGTGTGTGGTGTTGAGGTAGAGCCCAGGGTCTTATGCATGATAGGCAAGTAGTCTATCCCTGAGCTAGATCCTCAGCCCAGGAGAATAGTGAATTTTTAAATGTGTTATTGAGAAATAATGTTAAAATTACAGAAAAGTTGTAAGAATAACACAAAGAATACCCACATGCCCTTTACCTACACGGCTCACATGTTGCCACATTTGCCTTATCATTTGGTTTACATTTTTTCCTGAAACATTTGAGAATAAATTATACATATCATGGTATTTTACCCTTACATACTTGTGTATTTCCTAAGAATAAAGATTTGAAAACACACACACACACACACACACACACACACACACTTATATTTATTTTGGTACTGGGGACTCAACCTAGGGGTGCTTAACCACTGAACCACATCCTCAATCCTTTTTGTTTTTTATGTTGAGACAGGGTTTCACTAAGTTGCTAAAGCTGGTCTTGAACTTGTGATCTTCCTGCCTCATCCTCCTGAGTCACTGGGATTACAGGCATGCACCACCTGCCTAGTGAGGATTTGAATATATTTTTTAAAAAACCCCTTCAGCTGAACTTGGTGGTGCATATCTGTAGTTCCAGAAGCTTAGAAGCTGAGACAGGAGAATTGTGAGTTCAAGGCCAGCGTGGGCAATGTAATGAAAATCCTGTCTTGTTATGGTTTGGATATGAGGTGTCCTGCAAAATCTCATGTGTGACACAATGCAAGAAGGATCAGAGGAGAAATGATCGGGGTGTGAGAGTCTTACCCTAATCAGTTAATTGATCCCTGATGGGATTAACTGAGTGGTAACTGGAGGCAGGTAGGGTATGGCTGGAGGAAGTGGTTCGTTGGGGTCGTGGTTATGGGGTGTATATTTTGTTTCTGGAAAGCGGAGTCTCGCTCTGCTTCCTGATCACCATGTGAGCTGCTTCCATCTGCCACACTCTTCTGCCATAATGTTCTGCCTCACCTTGAGCTCCAAGGAATGAAGTCTGCCTTCTTTAGACTAAAACCTCTGAAACTGTGAGCCCTCAAATAAACTTTTCCTCTTCTACAACTATTCTAGTCAGATCTTTGAGTTACAGCAGCAAAATAGCTGACTAGAACACGTCTCAAAAGATAAAAAGGGGGCTGGGGTTATGGCTTAGCAGTAGAACGCTTGCCTTGCACGTGCAAGGCCCTGGGTTCGATCCTCAGCACCACATAAAAATGATAAATAAATAAATAATAAAATTATTGTGTCCAACTACAACTACAAAAAATAAATATTAAAAAAAAAGATAAAAAGAACTAGGGTACAACTCAGTGGTAAAGCATCCTGGGTTCCATCCCTAGGATCACAAAAAACATAAATCACAGTTTTATAAAATTTTGTTCCAAATGAAAAAGTTCCTAAAATTCAGGCTTGAGGAAATCAAAGCCGTGCCTGTCTGTGAAAGGTATTGGATGGGAAGATAGCTGCGCTAATGCTGAGCCTCCTGTCCGCACAGAAGGCTGAGTCGGTGCGCAGTTCTTGGAGAAACATTTTCTTTCCTCCCACTTGGCACAGGTATTGTATGATGTTCCAAACGGCACTCGGCCCACAGTTGGATGTCTTGTGGGACCTGAAGAATACCTGCAGTGTTCATTAGCAGCATCATGGACTTGCCACTTTCAGATCATTCTGGCAACCAGTGCAGTTTGAACAGAGACCTGAACATGAACTCCTGTCCTTCATGAACATCTGTCTCCGGGATGATTGTGTCTTTTTCCCCCTCTCCTTCGTTACTTACATGTGGTCTTTCCCCCTGTGTGTCCATATCTCTCTTAACCTTGTCTCTTCTGATTACTGGGCACACTGCTCAGACTTCACAGCTAAATATAGCAGCTATGAAAGCCGTGGAATTGCTAAATTTTATTTTTAATTTCCCCCCAATTCTCTCATCAAAAAGGGAGGAATGGCAGAGTTGGGTGTGGTGACACATATGTGATCCCAGCAACTCAGAAAGCTAGGGCAGGATTGCAGGTTTGAGGCCAGCCTTGGCAACTTAGTGAGACCCTGTCTCAAAATAAAAAATGGAAGGGGCTGGGGCTGTAGCTCAGTGGTAGGACACTTGCCTAGCATGTGTGAGGCTCTGAGTTTGATCCCCAGCACCACATAAAATAAAAACAAATGAAATAAAGGTATTGTGTCCATCTACAACTAAAAAATATTAAAAAAAAAAAAAAAGGGTGGGGCAATGGTGGTGAGAATAAGCCAAGTCTGGCCTGCTATCTCAGCCACTTGGGTGGCTGAGGCAGGATCATGAGTCAAGCCCAGCTTGGGTAACCTAGTGAGACCCTGTCTCAATATAATTAAGTAAGTAAATAAAAGGAATGGCTTTTAAATTTACTTAATACAGAAAAAAAAATTGCCTTATTTGCATTTTTTTTTGTATCTTTCAGTGTCAGAGTCAAGTGTTGAGATCCAAGAAGTTTCTCCAGAAGATGTCATTCATGATGACTCATCCCAGTATTTGATGATGGGAAGAATGCTAAGCCAAGGTCCCATGTATTCCAGCATTAAAGGAAGCTGGAAATGCAAGGGTGGTCCCGACACACTTCAAGGAAATCAGGGATGTACTGGGAAAGTGGCAGACCCTCACCAAGAAACTCTGCCTCGACACGTGAGTATCTGTGCGGTAGAAAGGCCCTATGGATGCCGCGAGTGTGGGAAGACATTCAGTCGGCGGTTTTCCCTTGTGTTACATCAGAGAACTCACACTGGAGAGAAACCGTATGTGTGTAAGGAATGTGGCAAAACCTTTAGCCAGATTTCAAACCTGGTGAAACATCAGATGATACATACAGGGAAGAAACCCCACGAGTGTAAGGACTGCAATAAAACCTTTAGTTACCTTTCCTTCCTCGTTGAGCACCAGAGAACACATACTGGGGAGAAACCCTACAAATGTACTGAGTGTGGAAAGGCCTTCAGTCGTGCTTCCAATCTCACCCGACATCAGAGGATTCACATAGGGAAGAAGCAGTATGTTTGTAGGAAATGTGGGAGGGCCTTCAGCAGTGGCTCTGAACTTATTCGCCATCAGGTGACACACACTGCAGAGAAGCCTTACGAGTGCACTGAGTGTGGGAAGGCGTTCCGGCGCTCCTCACACCTCACTCGACATCACAGCATCCACACGACCAAGACCCCCTACGAGTGCCCTGAGTGTCAGAAGGCGTTCCGTTGCCATTCGTTCCTCACGAAACACCAGAGAGTCCACGCTGGAGAAAAGCTCTACGAATGTGACGAATGTGGTAAAGTCTTCACTTGGCATGCGTCTCTCACGCAGCACACGAAGACCCACACTGGAGAGAAGCCCTACACCTGTGCTGAGTGCAACAAAGCCTTCAGCAGGAGCTTCTCCCTCATTCTGCACCAGGTGACTCACACTGGAGAGAAGCCTTATGTTTGCAAAGTGTGCAACAAATCCTTCAGCTGGAGTTCAAACCTTGCTAAGCACCAGAGAACACACTCACTGGACAACCCCTATGTTTATGAAAATTCATTTAATTACCACTCTTTTCTTGCTGAACACACTATAAAGAAAACCTAAGAACAAATTCATCAGTAAACAGCAAAAGGTAATGCCTCACTTTCCCTTCAGACAACTCTCAGAAAGAAGCCTTGTGTGAATGTGAAGATGTGATCCACACCTTATTCAAAATCCTGCAGAAGAGTCCCAAAATCTGTGGGAAAGCCATTCTAGCTGCTCATTCTCTATCAGAAGGCAAAATCACTATTGAGGAAATTGTTCTTATAACACTGAGAATACTCTTCATTTGGTAGGAGTCTCTCACTCTACTTTTGTAAATTCCTTCCTATTAAGATATGAGGGAACTTTTATTTGAGATATCAGTCCTTATTCTTCATCTGTTAGTTCAGCCAGGACAGATGCATGGTAAGAAAGAGCTTTAGAAAAGGATACTTTGGACATCAGAAAGTACATAAATGAAGTGATGCATAGAAACACAGTGCTTGGGAATTCCTATATTTTCCATTCAGTATTTATTAAAGTTTTAAATACTCTTGAAGGAGAGAAGGCAGTATCTGAAGCTCAGATGAGGGAATCATGTTGAAAAACTACTCTAATGAGCAGTCATCTTGGGTGGAATCAGTGTGGGGAAGGGTCTCATTTTGGGGTGGGGGGAGATGGGATTTTTTAAAGAAGTGAATTCAGAAGAGGAAGTTATAAATAAACCTTTTGGCTTTTACTAAACTAATCTTGTACCTGCTCATCTTCCACAGCATATGTGACTCTGAAAGTATAACTACTACGATATTGACATCCACAAGAAGAGTGCTCTGCTTTCATAGGAACATCATACAAACACAGAAACATTAGGCGTTTTCTGGTTTTAACTTTGCAGTGAGAGAATTTGGTTTTAAAGTTATGCTAACTCCTGTTTATCCTTGAATCTAACTAAGACAGTCTGAAATGGAAGATGCATCACAGCAAATTTCCCAGGCAGTTTCCCTTTTTTGTTCCATTTACAGAGAGAACAGTTTTCTCATAAGCACATATATAAGCCTTTTGGTATGATCAGCTGCCCAGCTGGCACAGCTCACACCTTCAGGGTAAGTTTGCTTTGATCAGCAAGGTAAGCAATTTCATAGAAGGAATCAGTAAATAGGAGAAACTTTATTGAGCACTGATACTATAGTAGCTGCACATCTGTAAAAGGTGTTAATGGATAAATATCTCATTTCAGAGTCATTTTTTAATACCTTTATTTTATTTGTTTATTTTTATGTGATGTTGAAGATCAAATCCAGTGCCTCACACGTTCAGAGTCATTTTTTTAGGAGATAAAACCTAGAATAATCTGGTCCTGGAGAGCCTTATTTACATGCCACTAGACTTCTGCATGCATGATCAGAAGGGCTGCATTCTCTGGAAGCTTTTGTCATTATGCCATTTTTGTATATATATTTTGAAGCGTCCCAAAGCTTTGCATAAGATTCATTTAGGAGAGGCTGATATTGATCTGAAAACTGTAGTCTGGCTCAAACACTGATGATGCCTGGATAGAGATGGGTATGTAGTATCGGATTTGGTTTTCTAAGGTAGTTGGTAGTCTGTATCAGGGATCATGTTACCTGAGCTGTCAATATTAGGGAGAACATGAAAACACTTTATTTAAGTTGATATTTTATATACTTAAGGGTTTACCTAATATATTCCATTATCTGATTCAGATCCAGAAACCACCTGCTCTCTACTCAGTGGGACCTGACTTGTGTGAAATATAGTCAGGTGTTGGGGATTGTGGCCCATGTCCAGATCAGGGCTTGTGAATTAAGAATGGTTTTTACAATTTTTAAATGTCTGTTTATTTTTTTAATTTTTATTTTAAAAGGATGAAGAATATGCAATAGAGATATATATGGCCTGCAAAGTTTAAAATAGTGTCTAGACCTTTATAGAAAACTTGTCAACTGTGATATAAATGAATATTAAGTTTACTCACTGATAATTATATTATATTTGGTTTTCAATAAAATACCTATGGAATTTAACATGTAATGAAACTAAAGAAGCATGGGGACAGCACAAGAAGGAGGGTGCCAAGTAAAGAGTGGGGGACCCTTGCAGCACCAGGGAAGTGGGAGAGGTGTTGATTGGGCTCTTTGTTCATCTAGAGGCAGGTTAAGTAGGTATGTACTATTTGGGAAAATTCATAGATGCTGTAAACTTCTCCCTGTATTACTGTGTTTCAGTCAAGTTTTTACAAGTCTTCCAAAAGAAGATTAAACTAAGCTTCAGCACTGAGACAGGAAGGTACTCTGAATGCAGAAAGATAAGGGGATAGAGCAACAATATATTCAGTGTGAGTGAAGTAAATGCTGGTTGTGTGGTAATAATCCAACCTCGAGCTTCACTTTGCATTTAACATTGGTAATCTGCCCTCTGTCTGAGAACTTCCTAGATTTCTGGTGCTGAAATCTTGGAATTCCCTTGCTTCTCTGATGTCTTGCTTCCAAGTGGCTTCAGTTCTATCTTTATCTCCTGCCTAAGCACAAAAATCAGCCCACATTCCTCTTCCATCTTCCTTTTTGGATTCCTTTGCAAATACATACACTCACATTGTATTGATTGCACTCACATACTGTTTTTTAAAAAGCAGTATACTTGGGGCTGGGGATGTGGCTCAAGCGGTAATGCGCTTGCCTGGTGTGCGTGCGGCCCGGGTTCAATCCTCAGCACCACATACAAACAAAGATGTTGTGTCCGCCGAAAACTAAAAAATAAATATTAAAATTCTCTCTCTCTCTCTCTCTCTCTTCCTCTTTCTCTCTCACTCTCTCTCTTAAAAAAAAAAAAAAAGCAGTATACTTAATTTTTCTCACATATAAAGATGTCCTGGTCTGGGGATGTAGTTCAGTGATAGAGCACTTGCCTAGGCCCTGGGTTTCATCCCAAGCACTGCCCAAAAAAGAGAGTCCTGGTAATAAGCAGGGAGGAGGACTAGCACAGCTATACAAAGCTGTTTTGAGGAAGCAGGAGCTCTTCTACATTATCTTTAGGCATCAGTTGTCATTCTCCTGGGCACAAGATAGATGTCTCTCTCAGCTCCAAAAATGGTACCTTTGAAGGCAGAAGAAAGAAGGTAGAAAGGCAAAGTTTTGCAAAAAGAACAAAATAGTCGGGTTCAGTGATACTAGTCTATTTCTGATTGGTCAGGAAAGAAGGATGTTGTCACCCTTGGCTATATTAGTTAGGAAGGATGAGCAGTTAGGCCAGAAGCAATATCTGCCTTATTGGGCCTGATGGCAACTCTCAAGAAAACACCAATAAAGTAGCTTCAAGTGTTCCAGATACTGTGAACCAGTGCAGCAACTCAGAACTCAAAAAGGCAACTGAAACACTTCACATGTGAAAACTATGGAATTGTATATAGTCAAGGATCAAAAATATCATGACAAATAGACCATATTCAAATATATTAACCTGGGACAAAATGTGTTATAAAGTCAAAGGAGTGTCTTCAGGGCCATATTTAACCTTAAATGCTAATTTTAGAGAAGAAAGACCAAATAATGAGTTTGAAGTGCACCATTAGACAATGAAAAAGATGACAACACACAACACATACAGGGTTTCTGTCTCATCATGAATTCTCTTGTGTATAGTAAGTGAAGGGCTCTGAAAGCTTTCCCACATTGGATACATTTGTAGCGTTTCTCCCCAGTGTGAATTCCTACTTGTTTCCTCAGGGAAGAGGAACTGGTAAGGCCTCCCCACACTCCTTCCTTTGGTAGGCCTTCTCCCTGGGGTGAGTCCTGTTATGAATCCTGAGGGATGAGAGGCCCCTGGCTTTCCCAGTCACTGCATCAAAAAAGTCCCCTCAAGTGTGTGTCTTCTTGTGAACCTTGTGAGAGCTGGGGTTGAAGGCTTTCCCACAGTCACTGCACCCATAGAGTGTCTCCCCGGCATGTATTCTCTTGTGTTCTATGAGGTAAGAGCTGCGCCAAAGGATTTTCCACACAGGTCACACTCATAGGGTCTCTCTCTAGGTCACACTCATGTGAGTTCTCACATGAGCCTTAAGAGATGGTTTTTGACTGAAAGCTTTTCCACATTGATTGCACTCATAAGGTCTCTCTCCAGTGTGACTTCTTACATGTCTCCTTAAGGTGGAGGAGTTGTTGAATATCTTCTCACATTCCCTACATTCATATTTTTTTTCTCACCCATGTGACTTTTTTTTGTGCAAAATAAAATTAGATTTCCTTTTTTTGGGGATTGAACTCAGGGGCATTCGATCACTGAGCCACACCCCCAACCCTCTTTTCTATTTTATTTAGAGACAGGGTCTCACTGAGTTGCTAAGTACCTTACTTTTACTAGGCTAGCTTTGAATTTGTGATCCTCCTGCCTCAGCTTCCTGCTGAGTTTACAGGTGTGTACCACCGCGCCTCGCTTGGATTTCCTTTTAAAGGCTTTTCCACATTGATCACGTTCATATTGTTTCTCACCAGTATGAATCTGTTCTTGTTACTTAAGGGGCAAATGATGACAAAATGTTTTCTTCTTTTTGATGTGTTCATGAGAGTTTCCTATCATGTGAAAACTGTTGTGTGTAGAAAGCATGTTACTGTGTTTGAAGTGCAGACCAGGTTTGCGGCATGTGTATTCATTCTCTTCTTGCTGTTTTAGATTTTTTTATGATCCATAGAGCTTGATCATATTAATGACTTTCACAGTGCTTCTCACTTAGAGAGTCTTTCTCATAATTGTTTGCAATTGAATTGTGTCCCCAAATGTTCACTGTCTGAATAAGATTTATGGCAATGTTTACTCGTGGAAACACTCTGTAAAAAAAATGAGTTCTGATCTAAGTTTAGAGTTTTCTTCTAACTCATGATAGTCACATAATCTCTCCTGAGATATTGGTTCCTTTTGGGTGTATGTCACTTGCCTCAAACATCCCTCTGGGGTCTTGCGGTGCATTCTAATCTTAACACATTCCCCGTCTTCTAATGTGGAGCACCAGTCGTTCATTATGAATCCTGTTTGCTCTCCATTGGATGGTTTCTCTTCCAAAATATTCTGCATAGGAGTTGGCCCTCTGGCTTTAAGTTGATCTTCCAGTGTGGACAGATGGCCTAGGGAATTCTCCTTTTCAATACTTCTTGTGTCTTCTTTTTAATTTTTTTTATAGTTGTAGATGGACAGCATACCTTGGTTTTATTTGTTTATTTTTATGTGGTACTGAGAATTGAACCCAGTGCCTCACACATGCTAGGCAAGCGCTCTACCACTGAGCTCCAGCCCCAGCCCCAGCCCCTCTCATGTCTTCTTGATCTGGGAGGAGTTCACAGAAGGTCTGTGTAATTGATATTCCACTGTGGTGAGATTTTTAGTTTTCCAACATTGCCCCTCTGTACAGACTTCTCTAAGAGTCAGCATCATACACTCCTCTTGAGTGAACTCCATCACTTAACCTTGGAAGTCACTGGTTCCTGTAACCAGGCTGTTAGAAATCTAGCCAGTATTCTTTTCTCCCCAGTATTTCTCATGCAGACACAGGTAAAGTCCTGTGTAGGGAGAGCTCAGGCAGAGGGCACATCAATGACTGCCATTTTGTGAATCCAGAAGTGACAAACTTACATAGTAGGGCAGCAAGATCAGGATGTTTCTCTGATCTACTCAGGAGAAGAATGTGTTTCACCAGTGTCCTCCCTGCAGCCAAAGAGCAGGTTCAGGTAAAAGAAGGAA